TCAGTAGAGACGGGGTTTCACCGTGTTAGCCAGGATGGTCTCGATTTCCTGACCTCGTGATCCGCCCGCCTCGGCCTCCCAAAGTGCTGGGATTACAGGCGTGAGCCACCGCGCCTGGCCAATGAACTTCTTTAAAAGAGGGAGTTTCTTCAGAGCACAGCATGCTGCCTGATCCCTAGTAGGTACTCATTAAATGCTCCCTAAATTAAGGCTAAGTAATTCTACTTCTCTCCCCCAATCAACTCCTCCTTTTCTGTACCATCTGGACAGATCTTATTCAATTCCATTTGGGATTTTTTTTTTTTTTTTTCCTGAGACGGAGTCTCACTCTTGTCGCCCAGGCTGGAGTGCAGTGGTGCAATCTTGGCTCACTACAAGCTCTGCCTCCCAGGTTCACGCCATTCTCCTGCCTCAGCCTCCTGAGTAGCTGGGACTACAGGCGCCCGTCACCATGCCCAGCTAATTTTTTATATTTTGTTTAGTTGAGACAGGGTTTCACTGTGTTAGCCAGGATGGTCTTGATCTCCTGACCTCATGATCCACCCGCCTCAGCCTCTCAAAGTGCTGGGATTACAGTCGTGTGCCACCGCACATGGCCCCATTTGGGAATGTTTTTAATAGGCCTCAGAGAATCAATTCTCTCCCTGACCCCTCTGTGATCTCCCTTGGATGGAGGGCCCCCTTGGGATCTTGCCCACAAGGTACTATTGCAACTCACATGGGCTAACTGCTTTTCCTGTCACCCGTTACTATGCCTCAGATGGCCTAATCACGCCCAATATGTGGCCCTACACTGAGGCAACTGTAGCTAAAAACAAAGTTCGCTAAATTTTCAGTTGATGCTGAATGGTCAAAAGTTTTGGGCCACTGTCTATTAATTCCTGACTTGAGAAACACAAGTTTAAAAAAAGGAGCCATTAACACCACAGAACCAGGAGACACTCTGAAAATGTACCCACTGTCCCCGAACAAAAGCTACAACCTTGCCCAGAAATGTACACACACTTTGTTCACCTGGGTAGCTCCTTCTTCAGTTCAGTGACTGTTCAGTCAATGACTAAATCTTTCCCAAAAGACTTGTGGGAAGTGGGAGTATAACATGTAGGGTTTTATGGTATCCTTCCTCAAAGAGGGCTGCTGCATTTCCTTATTGTAAGTTCACTGTCTCACACTTTGGTTACCTTCCAATCTGAAATGCTTTAGGATTAGGGAGCAATCTATATGCTTGCTTCTTCTACCCTATGCCTGCTTCTCAGAAGTAAAATTCATATCAATGAGCAATATTTGCTTCCAGTTAAAGTAAGAGAAGTATACAAGGTATGTTATGCAGTACGGATTGTCCAAGAAAAAATTTTAAAAAGATGTAAGGTCTTTTTAAAATTTGACTTGAAGGGCAATGGGAAAGTTCTCTTCTCCAAATATATTTTTGCAAATCCAGGTCTATATATGAAATTCCTTATTGATAATTCTACTCCTAAACTCCCTCTTAAGACACAAAAAACTGTTGGAAAAATTAGATAGGATTAAAACACACACACACACACACACACACACACACACGGCCAGGCGCAGTGGCTCACTCCTGTAATCCCAGCACTTTGGGAGGCTGAGGCGCATGGATCACCTGAGGTCAGGAGTTTGAGTCTAGCCTGGCATGGCAAAATCCCGTCTCTACTAATAATACAAAAATTAGCTGGTCGTGGTGGCGCACACCTGTAATCCCAGCTACTCCAGAGGCCGAGGCAGGAAAATCGCTTGAACCTAGGAAGCAGATGTTGCAGTGAGCCGAGATCATGCCATTGCACTCCAGCCTGGGTGACAAGAGTGAAAATCTAAAAACACACACACACACACCCCTACACACTGTCTCTAGGATAGGTAAGAAAAGTTCCTTGGGGGAAACAACTGAGGTTTCCGATGGGCACTATACAAAGGCTGGGTACAACAGAGGGCTTTTAAAGCTAGTAAGGACAAATTCAATTAATAAGGTGGTAGTTGGCCGGGCGTGGTGGCTCATGCCTGTAATCCCAGCACTTTGAGAGCACGAGGCGGAGAGATCACGAAGTCAGGAGATCGAGACCATCCTGGCTAACACGGTGAAACCCTTGTCTCTAATAAAAATACAAAAAATCAGCCGGGCGTGGTGGCAGGCGCTTGTAGTCCCAGCTACTTGGGAGGCTGAGGCAGGAGAATGGTGTGAACCTGGGAGGCGGAGCTTGCAGTGAGCCGAGATCGTACCACTGTACTCCAGCCTGGGTGACAGAGCGAGACTCGTCTCAAAAAAAAAAAAAAAAGATGGTAATATGAAATGCCCCAGCTGTACTCTGACTCTTGAGATTTAGAGGAAAACCGATTTCAAATCCAGATAAGCTTGGAGCTTCTTGGATCCCCACAGAAAGACACACACTGTACTCCAGCCTGAGCGACAGAGCAAGACTCTGTCTCTAAAAATAGAAGAAAAGAAAAGAAAGACAAATACAGGGGGCTCTTAGGAGAACCATCATCATCATGGATAAGAAAGAGATAGTCAAGTAATGTGAACATGCAGAGACCATGAACATCCAGAGACCATGAATTTGAGATAAGGGTCTGAAATTCCTTTCTTTAGCAGAGATGACAACAATTGTCCCAAACAAAATGATCCTTTCTCCCCATAAAGTTTTGTTCCATCTCTTTGGGCATTTCCTAGGACACCCAGCACATAACTTGGGGTGTGTGTGTGTGTGTGTGTGTGTGTACTGAAGGTGAATAACACACAGTACAGCCCTCTGCTTGTTGGACTTGGTAGAAGACAAAATGAACTGTGAAAGGAACGCAATAAATAACAGAGTATCATCCCAGAAGGGAAAACTGTAGAAAGAATAAGACTAGAGTTTGGTGAGAACATGAAAACAGAACTGCCTTTTGTGGCACATCCCCCAAAGCAAAGCAAGATAAGTCTGATTTGCTGTCTCTGATCCTTGACCTTCCTAAATGAAATATGAGTAAGGTATGTACGGGAGGATTTATACTTCTTAAACTGCTGAACAGCTTCCATATTTTAAAATATGAACATATTATTTTTGTAATTAAGAAATGTAGTGATGGCCGGGTGCAGTGGCTCATGCCTGTAATCCCAGCACTCTGGGAGACCGAGGCGGGCAGATCATGAGGTCAAGAGATTGAGATCGTCCTGGCCAACATGGTAAAACCCCGTCTCTACTAAAAATACAAAAATGAGCTGGGCGTGGTGGTGCACGCCTGTAGTCCCAGCTACTTGGGAGGCTGAGGCAGGAGAATCTCTTGAACCTGGGAGGTGGAGGTTGCAGTGAGCCGAGATTGCACCACTGCACTCAAGCCTGGCGAGAGAGTAAGACTCCGTCTCAAAAAAAAAAGAAATGTAGTGATAAAATATATTGGTAGAGAAGGGGAAAAGGAGGAAGCACAGTAAGGGAAAATCCAATAGGCTCCAATCTATGAGGGACTAAGAAGGCTAGCAGACCATTAAAAGTATGCAGGGAGGAGGGTACTCCACTCTTCTTTTTTTTTTTTTGTTTTTGGAGACAGGGTCTCATTCTGTCGCCTAGGCTGGAGTGCAGTGGCAAGATCGTGGCTCACTGTACCCTCGAACTCCTGGGCTCAAGTGATCCTCCTGTCTCAGCCTCCCAAAGTGCTGGGATTACAGACGTGGGCTACTGCACCTCTGTATCTTTTTCTCTACTCACCATCTTCCCCAGATACTTCATAGTTTACCCAACTTTTTAACAGCACAGAAATCTGGGCTTTTGAAGTAGACAAAGAACAAGGGGTGATGCCAAGCTTTTGAAATGGAATTTCTCACTCTTCCCCAAATCTCTTCCTCAGTGATATCACCTCATAGTTTCGGACCTGTTAACTCCATTACCTGCCTGGGAAATACCCAAGTCAAGTCTAAGTCCCACAAAAGTTTCACCAACTATAATCAGAAGATTTCCTGATGGCTGAGGATCTCTAAGCCCTTTTCCCATGTAGATAATGAAATAGATTCTCAGTTCTAGGAGACATGGTATTCACTATAGACCACATTATTAAGTGGGAAAGAAGTGGACAAAACATGCCCCCAATCCAACTCTTGGCTCTTTCATAGGACAGGAAACAGTAAGTTAAGAAACAGACCGCAATATAGACCAGCTATGAAGCCAAGAGAAAGTGTAGGGGCTGAGTTTGGAGCAGCCAACAGTCATGGAAAAAAAAAAAAATTACTTTGATCTTCATCCCTACCCTGGGAGTTTTAAAAAGCTTCAAATTACCACATCTAAATACTAAAGGGAACAAAAGAGTGTGTACTCCCAAGACCCAGAGCCTCCAGCCCACCCTTCAGCATTCCCAGAAGCTCCCATAACTGATTCAGGCCCTGCTTCCATTACTTCAACTACCTTAGTCTTCTAGATTAATACAGCCTTCTTCATTTTCCCCAGTTCTCCCTCACTGAACCCAAATCTCTCTCAGCTCAACACCATAGCACCCTCAGTTCTTTTTACAATAGGCACTTTCCCTGAAAAGAACGCTTCTTTCCAACTAAGAACCCTTCTCAGGCCCTTCCAATGAACCTCTCTGGAGAGACCCAGCTCAAGTCACCCCCGGGGCTCGGGCGACAGGTCTGACCCCTCCTCACCTCCCAGCAAATGGGCTTACCTCACCCGCTGCCCTGTCCCTTTCCCCAGCTCCTCCCTCTTCAGCGCTGCTTAATGAGGCCTGCCCCTCCCCTCACTCAAGCACCGAGCCTCCAGCGCCCGGCCCTCGGCCTGGCCGCCGCCACAGCCCAGCCGCCTTCCCGACTCACCAACTTCGGGGTCCCAGCCCGCCCAGTCCCCTCCTCAGCGCCCCCATTAGGCCTGCCGGAGCCCGGCCCCCTGCTCCCCTCTCCGGTGGGCCACTCTAACCCCTCGCTTAGGACCAGACCCGCCTCCGCTCTCAGGCCAGGTTGCTCTCATCTCCTGGGCGCTTCCGCCCCTGCCCTTTGGGGTCCATCAGCTCGGTACCTGGGGCTCCGTCTCCCCCGTCGGCCCCAAGCCTGTGTCGAACAGACAAACAGCTGCAGCTCAACCAAACCCTCCTGCCCCTCCTTCTCCTCCTCGCCCTGGGGCGGGGGCTCCAGCCAATAGCTCGAGTACCCGCCTACCATCGGGGGTGGGCTATATGTGCACTCATCCACCAATCCTCTGGAGAAAGGCGGGTCTCTTTGGGCGCTGTCACCAACAAGTACGAGCAAGGGACTCGACAGGCGGGGCCACAAACCAATAGCAAGGGAGAAACCTCGAAGATGGACGAGGTAAGGAGCCATTAAAGAGCAAGCTCCTGAAGACAGGGGGCGGTACAGTGCCGACAGGCGTATGTATCCACCAATAAAATCTCGACACCCCATGACCCCGCCTTTTGACTCATAAACATCTAATCAGGTGAGTGAAGGAGGCGGGTCAAAGTGAAACTTTAACCAGTACTACGAAAATACGGGACTTGACTGGCAGGCGAGGGGTTGACAGAAGCCTTAGGAAGGCCGCTATTGACCTTCGCCCCTCCCCCTGGACTTGGCCGGGGCTGGCTCTAGTGCCCCGCCTTCTATGACAAATTCGCGGGCGTAAAGGGAAATACCTCTTCTAGGGATCCGGAGCCTGGGAATTTAAGTAACCCTGACATCAGCGCTTCCTCCCTTTAGTGAGGCTTCAGGGGACAGGAGTATTTGGGGTGGCCGGCGGGCGGTCTGAGATGTTTTTTGTTGGAGTGAGACAATGGCAACTACAAGAAGTGGTAGCTTGGAGACGCTTTTTCAGAATCGTATGTAAATGTAAATAAAATAATCTTTGGAAAACTTTGCTGTTTGTGATATGAAACAGAAAGGAAAAAGGGCGGGCTTACTGGGAAATGCAGTGTCGAGAGGCAAATTCCCCGGGAGCCCTTTTCCTGCCGCTATGTATGTGCATGGGGGTGTGTGTGTGTGCATATATGGTGTGTATGTGGTGTGTTGTGTGTGTGTGGTATGTTGGCTGGGGGAAAGGAAGTTTGCTGGTGTGTGGAGAAAGTAGGAAGTATATAGACTTCAGTTTCCCCAGCCATAAATAGGAACGATAATAACCACTTTGTTCACTGTCAGCACTAGCCAAAATGGGGTGGGGTGGGTGGCCATGCACAGAGAGATTAGGAAAAGGGGTCCGAAATCAATGATCACATATACATATTCATATTCTGTTTCTCACCATTCTTTCAGTAAATAGGAAAGAGATGAACTATAAAACTAGGCACATTTTTTTAATGAACTACAAACTAAATTACAAATAACGTTAATAGCAAGAGCACTCAAGGACAAGGGTGACAGAAACAAATCATAAACAAAAAAAAATGCTTTTTTTTTTTTTTAAGCACTGTCATTACAAAACCCGAAGGTGCACATGGCAACAAATCCACCCACTCTAACCAAAAAAAAAAAAAAAAAAAAAAAAAAAAAGCCAACCTTACTATGGGATATAACCTGAAATATAAATATAATTGTTCATCCTTCTTTTAAAGAAATATTTTTGCCCATGCCCTCACTCAATCACAGCCCTGAAAAAGTGTCAGTACTCTCAAAATGATGTCTAAACCCTAATTTCCGACTCCTATGGGGTAGGAGGTGGACTTCAGAGGAAAACGGGATCAGGGATCCCTGGCAACTGAAGAACTAAGAATACTAAAAGGAAGAGAAAAATTCAAACATCTCTCACCTGCCTCATAAGGCCATGGTGAAGCAATAGATTGGAATGAAGCACAATCCCTGTCCCAGGGCCTCCCAAATTCCTCATGCCTGTAGAAGGGACAAACAAGGGGACTGGGGCCAATCATTTTTCTGCAGCCCCACCCAGGCTGAGTCTTGAGTCTCCCAGCCTATTAGGTGAGGCAGAACACTAACTAGGGTATAAACTGATTGGATCTATTTTTTCAACCGAATTCTTTAAAATAGACTCCTCCCAGTGGTTTTGTTTGACTTGGTTTTCAAAAGTTCCAACTTAGCCCCCTGCTATCATTTGGCCTTTACAAACATTGCGGCAGCAGGAGGCTTGGGATCCTGGTCATCTCAAACACTGGAAATAATAATTATGGGGCATTCAGAGATTGGTACGGCAAATCTAACATGTAGGAAGGCTTTTTTTTTTTTTTTTTTTTAATAGCAACCCTCTTCAGCAGTAACTAAGAGAAGGGAGAAAGGGTGGTGGAGGCTAACTTAAGTGCATCTAATACTGAAACTTCCTTTCATTTTCACTGGTTCCTCCCTTTCACCCCTGTATTCCCAGAGTTGGCTGGCCAAGACTAGAAGGTGAGTGTTTAAGGCAAGATCAGAGGGCCCACCTGAGTCCAAATAGCCCAAGGCCAAGCCAGGTCAAGCCCACACTGGAGCAGAGGGTGAGATTAGGGCTGGGGGCTTCGAGAAGGCTATCAGAGTCGAAGATGGGGTACTGGCTTGGTCACATCCTGGAAGAAAGGGTGAGCCAGGGCTGCCTTGGCTGAAATCCGCTTGTTAGGATCGTAGTGCAGCATTTGCTAGAGGGAGAGATGTATGTTGACTTCAATCATGTGATAGTGGACTAAATGGGCAGCAAATGTTCCCAGAAATCAGGAAACCAGAACTCCTTCTACCCAAGGCGGAATTCTTACTTCCATCCTCCCATAGCTGAACCAGTGTGCCAACAGGGAGAGCAGGAACCAGGGAAACAAAATACTGAGGCCCAGATTTCAGGGTCTCATCCTTCCTTCATCCTGGAAAAGCCCTTCCCTGGGAGAAATGAATGAGGGAAAACAGGTGCCCACTCTCACCGATAACAAGCTCCGTCCATCTTCATCCAGGGGAGGTACAACTTTACTAAAATCTTGCCGGGCCCACTTGGGGAAACTTGGCTTGTAATCAGGCATAGAAGTAACTCCTGGCCACACCACCTCATCTGGGGTCCCCAGAGTCCGAAAGATCCGGAAGAGCTGGTCAATCTCAGAATCTCCAGGGAATAGGGCCCGGCGAGTCACCTGAAAATGGGGAAAGAGAAAATACCAAGACCTATGTTGAAGTCAGTCAAAACTCTCCTCTATACAAAGGAGTTCCCACAGACAGTAGAAGGTCAGCAGGGCCCCATGACTCCCTCCCCAGGGCCTTTCATGGGGTCAGTCACACAGAACCTGAGACAATGAAGTCCCTTCATCTGTCTCCTCGCCCCCTCCTTCCTTCCCCCAACCATGGCTTTGCAGATCCCCAAGGCTGGGTGGGTCTGGGAGGGGCTGAATGTCTGCGATGCCACTGACATGTAGCAAAGGGATCCCAAGCCACTCACGGGGTATGGGGTAGACACTGCAGTCATCCCCCAACCTTGTGATGCAGCCACTTCTAGATAGGAGCACAGCGGGCAGAGGCTCTGTCTTCCATTTCTTCTGTGTTCCCCACAGTACCTAGCATGGTGCTGGCTACCCACTAGGTGCTTAACAAATATTTTTGGATGAATTGAGAGAGGAATACGGACAATTGTAAGGTAATGCACTGGGGGATAAATGCACATTACATATGTACAGGCTAATGGTCTTTAAGCTGTTGGTTACAACCCAGATAAAAGACAATAAAACATATTGCTGATTTGAAGCCTCAGCCTACTGCACTGCACTGTTGTATTAAAGGAGATAGGAGCTTCTACATAAAGCCAGGCCTCAAGGATCCTTCAATCTGAAAAGCCAGAGGTTGAAGGGGGACATGATCTAAATCTTTTTTTTTTTTTTTTGAGATGGAATCTCGTTCTGTCGCCCAGGCTGGAGTGCAGTGGTGCGATCTTGGCTCACTGCAACCTCCATCTCCTGGGTTCAAGCGATTCTCCTGCCTTGGCCTCCCAAGTAGCTGGGATTACAGGTGTGTGCCACCACACCTGGCTAATTTTTGTATTTTTAGTACAGATGGGGTTTCACCATTTTGGCCAGGCTGGTCTCGAACTCCTGACCTCAGGTGATCCACCTATACCTCAGCTTCCCACAGTGCTGGGACTATAGGTGTGAGCCACTGCACTCTGCCTAAATCTGCAATTTAAATGAAGGGTGTGGATAAAGTGACCACAATTGTCTTCACTACATTGCTGGCACCACACAATAAGGTCTACAAGCCTTGAAATGAAGGCCTGAAATAAAAGAGGCACTAAATGGAATCATTCTCCCAAATATATGCAGACTCAGCTAAAATGGCTGCAGAAATGCTTTATGTCATTTCAGGGATAAGAGAAGTATACTAGGTACTAAGGCTGTTTGAGGATATCCTAACATTGTGGTTGATATTGGGGCAACAGTTGCATCCTTTCCCACCATTCCCCTTGGTGCTACTTTAGAGACAGACCCCTGTGATAGAAGGGCCATAGGTCTGGGCCAAGAAACAGTTCTGTTGTTCTTGAATGTGGGGAGGAGGGGGCTGGGTGAACTTGGGCAAGCCTCCATACCATCTCAGCAAAGATGCAGCCCAGGCTCCAGATGTCCACGGCTGTGGAGTAGTATTTGCAGCCCAGGAGGATTTCAGGAGCTCGGTACCACAGGGTCACCACCTGAGGGACAGGAATAGGGAGAGGTGGAGTGGTTTATAGGGTATGGAGATTCCCACATCTCAGTTCCCCAACACTACTCTGCTAACTCATGGCCTCTTAACAAGCAGTTTCCTTCCCTCCCTCTTTCCCCTCTCACTGATTTCCAGTCCATAGTTCCGGAGACCATATTTTCTGAACCCCCAATTTGAGATCTTCCTGGAAAAACTTGAGACAAATGGTCATAATTTGATTTCGAAATTTTTTCTTTTTGTAGATTTGTAGAGATGGGGTCTCGCTATGTTGCCCATGATGGTCTCGAACTCCTGGGCTCAAGTGATCCTCCCACTTCAGCCTCCCAAAGTACTGGTATTACAGGCGTGAGCCCAGTTAGCAACACAGTATGAATTCCATGCATGCCCTAAGACTCTTGAAGATGTCAAGAGATTATTTCTACCTAGTAAGAAACTGTTAGCCAGATATTTTTAGTAAATTTGTGAATACCCTAGTTAACACCTCTTGGGAAGCTCAGAGAAGAAAGGCATAAAGGGACTCACCTCATGGGTGTAAGTACGAACAGGGACTCCAAAAGCTCTGGCTAGTCCAAAGTCTGCTAGCTTGATAGCCCCCTCTGTGTTAATAAGCAGATTCTGAGGCTTAAGGTCTCGGTGGAGGACCCGATGAGAATGGCAGAAAGCTAGGCCCTGGAGCAGCTGGAACAGATAGCTCTGACAAAGAAGAAAGAGAGGACTGTGTTTCTCCATCACAGTGAGCAGACTGGGTTTGCTCTGTGACCCCAAAACTCTACTAAAGCCTTTACTATGTTGGATTATAGTTACATATTTACAAGCTATTTCTCCCAATGGACTGTCAGCCCAGAGAGGATAAGGACCAAGTCTTACTCAATTTTGCTTCCCTTTTCTACATGCTGTGCATTGAACAAATGTTTGTTAATAAAGTAGCTCTGGGAGTGAAGAATCCAGCCCTAAAATAGACAATAGAGACTTACTAGCTGGTTCTTCCACCAAACAGAAGGGCTTTTTGGAGGAATTTACCAAGTGCTCTCAAATCCCATTTATCTGAGTTTCATCTGACCTCCCACCTGAGTTGCTAGGTTGACTCACTAGAGTTTCAACTTTGATTGTTCAGTCCAACCCTAGGGTTAATGAATATAATGAGCAGGGAAGGAGACACAAAAAGAAGGGGAGTGTGTGTGTGTAGGAGATGAGGGCTCAGAAGGAGGCCAAGATCATAAAATATCACCCTGAATTGCCTGCCACCAGTACCCCAAGACATGCCCATGATGGGAGGAGCTGATGAGAAGCATTACCTTGATGAGGGGAAGAGGAATGCCAGTGAGAGCAGAGGCATCCATGAATTTCTTGAGATCTTGGTGCAGAAATTCAAAAACCAGGTAGAGTTTATTTTCTGTGTGAATGACATCCAGCAGCCTAGAGAAGTAAAGTTTGAGGAAATGGAGGTGCGAGAGAGAGAAAAGCCCACACTGTACAGACAACTCATCCTCCTTTCCAGCTGGATTGCCTCTCAGACACATACTCACTTGACAATATTAGGATGGTTAAGCTCCTTAAGCAGAGAGATCTCTCGGATGGCAGTACTGGGCACACCCTCAGTCTCACTTGGAGAGGTTGGGAAAGCAGAGACGGGAATATGGTTACAAATATTCCTTTTTCCCCCACCTAGTCATTTCTTTCCCCCAAGGAGACACCACCCAGCACCCCCTAGGAAAGTCAGAGAAAAGAAAGGGTGCTGGAAAGAGCTAATTCTTGGGTAGTCAGGGTGTGGCTTTTGCACATATTAAGGTCATTATCTTGTCTTTTCCCAGGGGTAGGTAAGTAAAGCCGTCTGGTGAAGGTAAAGCAGGGAGGCTGTAAAGGGGAAAAAAAAAAAAAAAAAGCAGGAGTAGTCCCCAGTCTCTCCAGAGGGGCCAGTGAGGTTCAACTGCCATTCTTTGGAAAGAGGAGAGAATTCTAAGGTGAGGGTGGGGCAGTGAGGAGAGCTCTTCATTCAGAAAGGCGCTCCTCGCCGGTTCCCACATAACTCCACTCCATGGAGAGTCTTGGACCTCATCTCAGAGGCCTCCTTTCTCTCCCCGAGTCTCTGTGTTCGCACATTTGGGGGCACGATCCGGCTCAGTTTGGGAAGAAAGTTTTCCATGGATTCCACACCATCCTATACTCTCCCCAGGGAGTATAAGTATACACTCCACCTTCTACTGGCCCCCAACCCACCTCTCCACTTCTAAAGAAGTCCGTCCCTGTTGTCTTCCGGTCCCTGGACGGCTACCCGCCCGTGGGGGATTGGGGGGGGGGACAGTCAAGGAGGTCCCCAGTTAGGAGTCCCGGGTACAGAGGCCACTCACGTGTCCAGGCGGATTTTCTTAAGCGCCACCACTTCTCCCGTCAACTTGTTTCTGGCTTTGTACACAACTCCGTACGTGCCCTCTCCGATCTTTTCCACCTTTTGGAAGTTCTCCATGAAGCGCCAGCGAGTCGGGTCAGCCCGGCCCTGGAGTGGGGGCCTGGGAACCCTGCAGAAGGCGGACCCTGGCTCTCGGGGGCCGAGGAGGGGGAAACAGGGCCCAGTATCGTGCCCCCGGGTCGGGATGGAACGCAGTATACCTCTCGCTCTTGTCAATTTGGCCAACTTGAAACAATGTTGCCGCCTCCCCCCGAGTTCCCGACCGCCACCAGAAGCCCCGCCCCTGCTTCCCGCGTTTCCCTGGCTCCGCCCCCAGGCATTTCTATTGGTCAACGTCAGAGCCGGGGGGCGAGTGCAGCGCTCCTCCCCGCAAATGACCCCGCCCCAGGCAAGTTTGGTTCTTCGGGGGCTAGACAAATTTCTTTCTCGGTGGGGCGGCTGAACAGTCTTCCCAAGTACCTACTTTGGGTCCAAGTTTCCTACCTGTGTCTCTAGTCTGTAGGGATTTCTTGATTTCTAACTCACTATTTTCACCACTCCTGGGGAAAATATGTATCGACCTAAGGTTAAATTCTACCTGGCCCAGGAGCCTCCTTTGAAAAGCAGGAAACTAGGAATCTCGTTGTAAAGAATTCCTGGGCCTCAGAGGAGTCATTGCCTCTGCCTCATAGCCTACCCCGACGCTGTCTGTGTTTTGGGATGCGGGCTTCTGTTTCTGTTTTTTTGAGAAGTTCCTGGTTTAATTCACTCTCCCATGATGAACTGTTGTGTCTGGTATGTGTTATGCAGCTGCCTTTCAGTCAGCCCTTGCCCGGGAGTATATGAGAGTGACCCAGTGAAACCAGAAACTGCCATTGAGTAGCAGGATGGGAAAGCAATGTCTAGGGACCAGGATCCCTTTGTCAGTTTTTCCTTCTTCCTCTTCTCTGGCCCCTCCCAGGCCTTCTCTGAGGGAGAAGAGGAAGGGCTATGCAAATGAGCACCCTTTTCTTATATAGGGGCCTATCCCAGTCCCCCCAGTGCCTTTGGTTGCTGGAGGGAAGAACACAATGGATCTGGTGCTAAAAAGATGGCTTCTTCATTTGGCTGTGATAGGTGCTTTGCTGGCTGTGGGGGCTACAAAAGGTATGTGTGGATATGTGGACATAAGCAGGTGTGAACTTGGGGATGAATTCCCCCTGCTCTGGTTTCTCTCCTCCTAATGGGAGATAGCGGCAATATTTCAGGCGTCTCCCACTCATTTGATTTAGTGAGAATGTGGGCACCTGGGCTCCCTCCCTACATGGAGATTTGGGATTGAGCCTGAAAATAATCTCATATGCTTGGAGGGGCAGAAGAATAGAAGGTCTCTGTGGCACTGATTCTGAGGCTTCCTTGGCAGTGAGCTGGAGCAGGGGCTCCAAAGGGGTGAAATGTGCGGGAGACTCTTTTAAGAAATGTCTCTTGGGGTAGGAGATTTAAAGTGGGGAGTCAGAGAATGTAGTATTGGGTAAGAAGACTAAGGAGATACAATCCTCTCCCCTTGGGATGGGTACGGGTGAACACAGCCCAGACCTTTTGTTCTGGGGCTGGGAGAGATAGGCAGAGGGGTCTCAGCTGAGCATCACATGAAAGGGCTCTGGGGGATTGGGCCTCGTGACAGGAGCAAGGGGAGGGGGTGAGGTGGTGAGAGGGTCTGGAATGTCCCGTGCTGCTCTGAGGAGAGTTGGAAGTGGAGAATGAATGGGGTATCTTATGACTTATCTTGCTCTAGTGGTGGGATGCTCAATGAGATGATTCCAGATCCTCCCCCAGCAGAATCAACTAGGGTTACAACACACATTACAAAGGGGATGAGGCCGGGCGTGGTGGCTCACGCCTGTAATCCCAGCACTTTGGGAGGCCGAAGTGGGTGGATCACGAGGTCAGGAGTTCGAGACCAGCTTCGCCAATATGGTGAAACCCCGTCTCTACTAAAAGTACAAAAATCAGCTGGGCATGGTGGCGCATGCCTGTAGTTCCAGCTACTCGGGAGGCTGTGGCAGGAGAATCACTGGAACCCAGAAGGTGGAAGTTGCAGTGAGCCAAGATCACACTACTGTACTCCAGCCTGGGTGACACAGCGAGTCTTCGTCTCGAAAAAAAAAAAGAAAAGAAAGGGGATGAGGCCTGGCACAGTAACTCATGCCTGTAATCCTAGCACTTTGGGAGGCTGAGGTGGTTGGATCACTTGAGGTCAGACCAGCCTGGCAAATATGGCGAAACCCCATCTCTACTAAAAATGCAAAAATTAGGTGGGCATGGTGGTGCGCCCCTATAATCCCAGCTACTTGGGAGGCTGAGGCACGAGAATCACTTGAACCTGGGAGGCAGAGGTTGAAGTGAGCTGAGATCACACCACTGCATTCCAGCCTGGGCAAAAGAGCAAGACTCTGTCTCAAAAAAATAAAAAAGAAAGGAAATGAGGAGGCTCACACCTGTAATCCTAGCACTTTGGGAGGCTGTGGCCATAGGATTGCTTGAGCCCAGGAGTTCAAGACCAGCCTGAGCAACATAGTGAGACCCTGTCTCTACAAAAAGTAAAAAAATTAGCCAGGCCTAGGCCGGGCATGGTGGCTCATGCCTGTAATCCTAGCACTTTGGAAGGCCAAGGCAGGTGGATCACCTGAAGTCGGGAGTTTGAGACCAGCCCGATCAACATAGAGAAACCCAGTCTCTACTAAAAATACAAAATTAGCTGGGCATGGTGGCGCATGCCTGTAATCCCAGCCACTCAGGAGGCTGAGGCAGGAGAATCGCTTGAACCCAGGACGTGGAGGTTGTAGTAAACCGAGATCGCGCCATTGCACTCCAGCCTTCCAGCCTGGGCAACAAGAGCGAAACTCTGTCTCAAAAAGAAAAAAAAATATATTATCTGGGCCTGGTAGTGAGCACCTGTGGTCCTAGCTACTTGGGAGGCTAATCAGGAAGATGGCTTCAGCCCAGGAGTTTGAGGGTGCAGTGAGTGAGTGATGAATGTGCCACTGCACTCAGGGTGAGAGAGCAAAACCCTGTATCAAAAGGAAAGGAAAAGGAAAAGGAAAGGGGAAAGAAAAGGGGAAAGGGAAGGAAGTTTCTGCAGGAAAGGGAAAAATGGGGTGAGGGTAGTTTTTGCTGTCCTGAAATATATACAGATAGGAGGGGAGGGGAGAGAGGTTTCTGCAGGAAAGGGGAAAATGGGGTGAAAGTAGTTTCTGCTGTGCTGAAATATATGCATTATATCCCAGCCCCGCTTTCTCCCTAGATGCTTAGTCTCACAGATTTCTAGGAAGTTCTTGATCTGACTTTCCTCGCTGTGCTGCAGTTTCAAGTCTTTTTCTTTTACTACATTCCTTAATGTATCCTGGAAAGAGTCTGTTCACACCCACCCACCCAAGGCTCTTAAAAAAAGATTGTGCTTATATTTCGGATCCTGATTTTAAAAATCATAAGACATTTTTCTAGATATTAATGAAATTTTATATGGACTGAGTTTGATAATTTTGTCTAGCATGAAATGACATTGTACTTATGCAAGAAAATACTCATATTTTTAAAATTTGTAGGGTTAATACAATGTTTGGGATTTGCTTTTACATACTTTAGCCAAAACAAAAACAACAACTAGTAAGGATAAACAAAGCAAATGTGGCAAGGTGTCGATAGTTGTTGGACCTGGGTAGGGCAGATGGAGGTCCAGCATATCCTTTTCTTCTCAGACTTCTCTTGGTCAGTTACAATAATTTTGTCTACCCTGTCCCCATGCCCAATCTCTGCCAGCCTCTAATCCATCCTCCTCACTGCTTGCCATCATGATCTTTCTAAAACACAAATTTGATCATATTCAAAAGTAAATTTTTTTTTTTGAGACGGAATCTTGCTCTGTCGCCCAGGCTGGAGTGCAGTGGCGTGATCTCGGCTCACTTCCACCTCCGTCTCCCGGGTTCAAGCAATTCTCCTGCCTCAGCCTCCTTACTAGCTGGAACTACAGGTGCCTGCCACCACGCCCAACTAATTTTTGTATTTTTAGTAGAGACAGGGTTTCACTTGGCCAGGCTGGTCTTGAACTCCTGACCTTGTGATCCACCTGCCTTGGCCTCTCAAAGTGCTGGGATTATAAGCGTGAGTCACAGTGCCTGGCTAAAAGTAAATTTTATGGCATGTGAATTATATCTTGATTTAAAACAAAATAGGTCAGGCACAGTGGCTCACACCTATAATCCCAGCACTTTGGGAGGCCAAAGCAGATGGATCACTTGAGGTCAGGAGTTCGAGACAAGCCTGGCCAAATGGCGAAAGCATGAAACATGGCAAAACTAAAAATACAAAAATTAGCCGGGTGTGGTGATGGGCGCCTGCAGTCCCAGCTACTTGGGAGGCTGAGGAACGAGAATTGCTTGAACCCAGAAAGCGGAGGCTGTAATGAGCCAAGATCACGCCACTGTATTCCAGCCTAGGGGTAGAGCAAGACTTCATCTCAAATAATAATAATAATAATAATAATAATAATAATAATAATAAGTAAATACGGGTGTTTTTGTTTTTGGGTTTTTTTTTTTTTTTTTGAGATGAAGTCTTACTCTGTCGCCAGGCTGGAGTACATTGGGGCAATCTCGGCTCATTGCAACCTCCACCTCCCGGATTCAAGTGATTCTCCTGCCTTAGCCTCCCGAGTAGCTGGAACTACAGGCGCACACCACCACACCCGGCTAATTTTTATATTTTTAGTAGAAACAGAGTTTTACCATGTTGGTCAGGATAGTCTTGATCTCTTGACCTCGTGATCTGCCCACCTCAGCCTCCCAAAGTGCTGGGATTACAGGTGTGAACCACCATGCCCAGCTGAATAAATGAGTTTTAAAAATGCACTTCGGCCAGGTGCAGTGGCTCATGCCTGTAATCCCAGCACTTTGGGAGGCCGAGGCAGGGAGATCACCTAAGGTCGGGAGTTCGAGACCAGCCTGACCAACATGGAGAAACCCCATCTCTACTAAAAATACAAAATTAGCCGGGCGTGGTGGCACATGCCTGTAATCCCAACTACTCAGGAGGCTGAGGCAGGAGAATTGCTTGAACCTGGGAGGCAGAGGTTGCAATGAGCTGAGATCGTGCCATTGCACTCCAGCCTGGGCAATAAGAGTGAAACTCCATCCCCCCCCCAAAAAAAAGCACTTCGAATGTGAGAATGAATTGGGTGACATGAATAGAGTATTATCCCTGAGAAGGGACTGAAAGGATCCTAGGGCCCTTCATGGCACATTCCTTTTAGGACCCAGAAACCAGGACTGGCTTGGTGTCTCAAGGCAACTCAGAACCAAAGCCTGGAACAGGCAGCTGTATC